AGTTAATATTCACGTAAAAAAAATTATCGAACTTAACCAAACGTACAAATGCTTAATTTAGTATATAAACAAAATTAATAATAAATAAAAATAACAAACAACTCTTTCTTTTTAACCTTTAAGAATGTTGAGAAACCTGTGACAGTTCTCCATGAATTTATAAAAGATTTCTCATTATTACGGTATTTATTATTATTATTAACGAAATTATTTCGCTTCTTGTGACAAAATCGGTTTATTTCCACTCCTTTGAAAAACGTAGTGTTTAAAATTTTATTTTACATTATTATTTTATTTGTAACAATCAATCAAAAATATTCTATACATTAATTATGTTTAATGTAAAACAATTTCTGAATTAATAATAAATTTAATTTATAATTAAACCGTTATATGTTACTTCACTTTAATTTCTTGTTTGTGAAAAAGTGAGTTTTGTATATAAGTGATTATTTTATAACGCGCGATATCCTTTCGTATTGAACATGAATTTTACTGTAAATTTACAGATAGTCTAAGAAGTTATCTATCAGTTTTATTTATTTTTACTGTCTGTCTTGTCACAGCGCGGTGAAGGTTTAAACGCAAATATTTTAAAATGATTGTAATAAGTGACAGACCATATACAAACGACAGGAAATTTAGTTGTTTTTAACTAGAAAAGTTGCTTCTTCGCACTCTAATAGAAGATTTTAAGTCAGTTAAATTTAAAGAGCAACTGTAACCAACCAATTGCACTGATACAGGCCGAATAACTTAATTAACTAGTATTTTTATATTTTTAGTAGTCTTCAATATCTTTGATATGCATAAATAGTCTAATATTATTTTGAGAAGTTATATTTTTTTCAATTATGATTTCAAAGAGGATTAAAAATGTTTTAATGCGTTAATTTTATATATTTAACTAAAACTGGTTATTAATTTAACAGTGAACTCGACTATTCAGTATTACAATCAGTATTAATCTGTTTCCTATGTTTTTTATTTAAACGAAGCAAAGTACTTCAGAAAGCATTGCTGTTAAAGTAATTTGAAAAGTTGTTAACATGTAGTTATTAAAATATGGACAAATTATCAGCTTGTTAAAGTAGCTGACTTTTTGCAATCTTTTTTCAGATTATATTAACTAGTTTTAATTATACTCAAAATATTGTTTAGATGCATATTTTAACTTTAAAAGTAATGTAGAATTCGAACTCTTTTTAAAACTTATAAAATCATACCCTATTACATGAAGGAAGAAAAAAAAAAGATTTCTTAAATTTATGCAATATTTTCTGAAAAAGGGTGTGCACAAAATAAAAAAGTGAACACCCTTCCCCCCATCAAATTTTCATTAAATAATCGGATCTTCACACAATAGGACTCAATCTTAAATGGGCCAATTAATTAATGCAGGCGCTGTTGTAATGATATAATAAATTACGGAATCTGACACGAAAACTTACTTTCTTTGTAAAAATATATCTCATTTCCACAGATTTGGAATTCTGACACTTAAAATATGGATGTCAGCTGGCCACTATCTGGAAAATATGGTCGCAATAGTTTAGGCAGTCGAAACTTTTAAAGTTAATTTCTCCTTTTGCGCCTTTCGCTGAATCACGAGAATCAAAAGAGTTTTGTACACAATAATAAAATTCGTTAAACACATTTTTACGCCATTTTAAAATATTTAATTTTAAATCACAAAATTTGAACGAAATAGATCGAATAGTTTATGAGTTAGCAAATTTTAAAACTCCTCTATTATAATGATTATTATTTTACATAAAATTATATTTGGATAAGGGAATTTAAAAATTGTGTGCAAAAACTTATTGATTTGCTTTCCACAGATGTGACGAAATACGAAAAAAGTAAAATTGACATGGATAGGTCCAAACTTTTAATCGCTCTCCTGTATAAATAGTTGGAACCATATTTTCCAGATTTCGACCACCCTCCCCTCATTTCAAGGGAGAGAATACTAAAACTATCGGAAAAAAATTTTTAAAATATATGTTTTTCCGAGAAAGTACTTTTTTGAGTCTTATATCGTAACTTAAAACATTGTTAACATTAATTTGAACGATTTATATATTAGGTTAAGTCTTTAAACTTCAAAGGTGCGAAAATCCGATCATTAGATTAGATTAAAAGTTATTCTGAACGTTCACTTATTATTTCGCGCCCTGCATATCAAATTTGGCCATTTGAACGTTAACTGGATTAGAACACCCGACTCCCTTTTATAAACAAATTATTCATTTGGTCTTAAATAAATTAAACTCATATTACATTATAAAATAGGCCTACTTTTTTCATATTAACTTTGAATCTAATAAAATTTTTCCATTGACGTAATTTTCATTTGAAATACTCTATATAAAATCAATTAATTAAAGTGACTCAACTCAGGATAAATAAATATCCCATCACGTTGTTACAGCATTTTCAATAATCTATAAATGAACTGGGGAAACACCAAGTTAAAACTAAATTGTTACTTTTTACGTTAGTCTTAAAAGAATATCTGGGCGATTCTTGTTTCTTTTTGTGGCCTATTTGAATTATTAAATCTTAAAAAAAAAAGTCTTATACTTTTAAAATTAAGCTAAGTCTCCTCGAACATGAAATAAAACAAAACACACGCTATAGTCAAGATCGAGTCGCACTCTAAAACCTGTTTAAGTTTTAAATGTTCAATTAACAAGTGTACGCGGAAAATGAGAAAAATTGATGTAGCGCCTAACCACGTAATTGGTTTTAAAAAATATGTTAGTCAAGGAACGTCTTCCTAATTTTCTGTAACAGAAGTTACCACAAAGAAGGACAATTTAAAAGCTTCAATCTTATCTATCTATTAAGTATTTTTCACTGAAAAAAAGTTTAGGGGGGGATTTAGATTTCCCCCCCAAGATGTTTCTGAGATTGTTCCAAGATGTTCTCAATTTGTTACGCTTGTTCACACAAAACTTCTTCCCAGCTCTAGTGCTGTATTTCAAGTCTCAGCTATTCACCGACTGTATAGGTACTCCGTTAGGAAAAATCATTGGTTATTTTGTGAATACCCAACTTTCTTTTTCGTGTCCTCGTGATTGAAATAATTATAACACAATATCAATTTAGTTAAAATCAATGAGTAAAAACCATGTAATAAATATAGAATTAAAATGTTATTTGTTACTGTATATTGTTATTATTTGTTACTTTATTTATTTAATGCAAATCATTAATATTTAGCACCATTACTAATTGTATTTTAATAATCAGAATCTACTGATGTTAAATATTAAATTACGGCAGGTAAAAAAAAATTATGTTAGCTGGAAATTTTCATAAGAACTTTAAATTCGCCATCTATTGATTCATAAAGTAACTACATAGAATTACCGAAGACCTAATACGGAAATTCATTCAAACATTTGTTAAATGTTTGTCTAGAAAATAACGCAAAAAAAAAAAGAGGAAAAAATTACGTTCCTTCACTGGAGTTGTTATAGATTTTATATATAGCGGTATTCAAAACCAATCCCGAAACTAAAAGTTAAGAATTTCAAATTTATGATTGCACTTATTACACAGTTTACATTGCTGTGCATACAGGTAAAATACTGTTTCCTTTTGTTTGTTTTTTTCTCGTTTAAGTGAATGAGAACATACACGAGTAAGATGATTCAAAATTTGAAGAGTGATTTTCTTTACTGCAAAATTTATTATAGAATTGCACTTATTATGAAGAAAACGATCTATCAAATCGTTCATTCTAAAAAGTGTACAACAGTCATAGTACATCAAAATTAGTATTTGCATTATAATGTTGGCAACTTTTGAGCAATTTGTTCGATTGACTCGTGAACTGTATCATTCTATTAAGCGAAAAAAATACAAACGAAACAATATCTCGCTTGCTTAGATAGTTATATCAGATTAGTAAATTAGATATATCAAAATAGTAGGAGTAGTAATTATAGTTTTTTTTAGAAAATAAGATTACATGGATTGCCTGTTTCGAAAATTGGGAGTCGTTATTATGCCGAATTGAAAATATCAGGTTTTTTGATACTCTGCGAAAAAGCCTAGCAATATGTTAAAAGAACGATAAAAAAATAAAAATATGAGCTACTTTGATTTGCAAAAAGCCGCACATTAAAAACATGGAATTTTTCACAATCATGTTGTAATGCAAACATGATAGAAAAAATAACTTTACTTTACGATAAAATTGACACTAAAGCACATCAAAAGCACCCCATTCATATATCGAATTTAAAAGATCGGAATTTTAAGAACCTATGAAAACACTATCGAAAAGTAACTTAGATTAACTATGTATCAATCTATGGTATCAAAGAGCTTTAAAAGTGATTAATATATTTCGAATGTGTTGCAATATAATTTTGTTGTATTAAAAATATCGAGATTAAGACTTTAGTAGTTCATAACGATAACTATCGGAATTGATCAAAATACTACATTGTAGATTTGACACTCCTAAAAAATGTCCTTTTTTTACCCTTATCATATAGTATTTTATTTCTGGATTCCTGACCCCTCTTCCCCGAAGAAAAAAAGGTATTTTTAAATACTTTTGTAATTAACTTACTATAATCGATATTATCGATCATATAAAGCAAATTAAAAGTGATCATGTTCTTTTTAAAACTGTATGGGTAAATTTAAAAAAACTTTTTCCATGTTAATTATACGAATTTGTAGTAATGCTAAGACAACACGTTATAACAGTTTATCACCTTATGTTCAGCACAGCATTTTGTACCTGTGCTGGTAAAGGTACAAAATGCTGTGCTGAACATAAGGTTTTATAAAAATAAATTGACTTTCTTTAAATTTAAAATGTACCTGCGAGGACTTGATTTGATTTTAAATTTATATTTTGGGGGTAAATGATGACACCAACACAAAATAGTATTTTAATTACATCCACCTGTATATATATATATATACCGGTATATGAATATTAATTTCAGCATTAATATATATATATTATAATGAATTTCACAATCAACATAGTGCACAATCAATATACTACTGTCTCGAAAGTACTTTCGAAATAAGTGACGAATTAGAACCCAGATACTCAGTACAGGAAAAAATTAATTTTCTTAAGATGCATCACTTTAACAGATTTTCAGTTCGGTTCTTAAACTAATACGGAAAAATTGTCTTTATATAGTCTATTTTGTCTTCATCTAGTCGACTTATAGTAGATCCCAGATCATTGTGAAATCCCTGGAAATGAGGTTGAAGAACTATGAGACCTGTAAGATCTTTCTCTCCACTCTGCATTACTTTTGACAAAAGAAAGCATCTGGAGCGTTGTTATTTTTTATGAACTGATGATGAAACTTCGTCGAGTGTCACATTCCATTATAGTTGAAGTTTAAGGATAGAATTCTAATTAGCTTTCACAAAGGAAAAGGGGATAGTAATAGTTAGTGGTTATTGCTCAATTTATTTTAAACTCGATTTTCCCCTTAAAATATGTTACTTAATTGAATGACTCTATAGCTGTAAGCAACGCATCACAAAAGCAGTCCCACAGGTCTGAGTTCCCTTGTTGTAGACACTGTAATAAAAAGTACATTATTATTACCTCTTTATAACACATTTCTTTTTATAATTATAGAATGATAACAAAGGCATTCCTTTTTTTAGTAGTAAGGAGGAAGACGGTTTCTTTGTTTTCATATTGTAAATTTATTTACCATAAATTAAACTATGCACCGAAAATAGTTAAAATATTGCTTAAAATTCTCTAAAATATTTCTAAAATTTCAATTCATTCCATTTCTGAATAAATAAAAATAAATTATAAATCATTTAGCAATCTAAAATTTTTTTGCTCTAAAATGAGTCAATATTTTTTAAATAATATTTTTCTATCGAATTAAACAATTCCATCTATATCAATTTAAAACTAAATTTTTTAAAATTTATAATTTTTTGAAACTATAGATTGATTACAGAGACCTTTGTTTCTTATCACTGAAGCAAAATCGAGGTTGTTGCTTTATTGACGTCTGGACATAAAAAAAAAAGTTCTACTTAGTAAACTGTTAAACACCTACCTTACAGGGTAGCTATTAATGGTCTCTCAGAGATAGTGAAAAAGGAGGATGGGTTAAATAAAGGGGGGATTAATATTTTTCCTTCTGTTACTGCCCAAATGTTATTTTATTATGATGCATAGATGTAGAATAAATTCTTTATGAAGACTTATAAATTTGAAGTTATGTTTGGAAACAGAAAAAGTGTTCGAAAAAAGGTTGACCTAAAACTTCTTCTTTTCTAAATTGCTATAATACATCAATAAAAGTATCCAGTTTAATAAAATAATCAATGTGAAAATACAGAAAAAAAATAAGAACAGCGAAGCTATAAAAGAAAAATAAATAAAACAGCGTAATTTATATGAATGTTATAAGTTTGAAAAATAATATTTCTTTTAGATAAGAGTCCTTCAGTAAATGCAATTTTTAGTGAAAAATGTTCGGTAAATCAAAAAATTATTATATAAATAGATGACCTCTAAAACTAATTAAGATCATGATATAAGAATGAGAAACTAAAGAAGTTTTAAATTATTCATATAATTGATAAAAATGTTCAAGATTAAACATTTGCTCCAAAACACACCCTTTTGAAATTATATTTAACATTGTTCTATTTTAATTTAATATTAATTAATGTTGAAATGACCAATTTATGTTTTAAACTTTGGGCTATTTTGTATTAGCCAAAATCAAAGCTAATGACTTTTTTTTTATGGATGATATTATTTTTCCATTGCCATTAAAACCATTCTGGATTGCAAGAATATATGCAGAATTTTTCTCAATATTGATGCAAACAAATACTAAATTGAAACTAAACAAAAACAATTTGTAGGATAAGAATTTTAAAGTTATAAAATAAAAGTTTTCTTTTTTCAATTCAACAAAAAAAATCAAATTAGGTATGTATGATACCTGAGAAACAATAAACTAAGAAAAATTAACATAAAATATTAAAATTAAACTAAAATTAATTAAAAAATTCATTTAAATGTTCACAAAACTAAAACGAAATATATATATATATATATATATAAATCGTGTTTAATATTTTGTAAAACAAAAATTTGAACATAATTTCCAAGCAATTACTGTGTAATTGCTATCTTATAATTTGATATTTTTGTTCACTGATTTAAAACTAAATTTTTATACTTGAGTTAATTTAACGAGGGTTAAATTTAGTAATGTGATTCACATCGCAGTGACCAATTGAAAAAATAAATTTGTAAACATTTAAAAGGGAGGCGGATATTCTACACTAGAGTCAACTTACTAACTTTTCTGCGAAAATTCTGATCGATATGGTAAAACTTTTTTTTCTGCGTTAAAGAGGGAAAAGATATATTTTGCTATAGTAAAAAAATTATTCTAAAATTAAGCCTGACTTGAGTCATAGTTGGAATTTTTACAGTTGAGATTTTCACGAAATTTAAAATACGATCTCAAAAATGGGTTTATGANATAAATATATAAAGTAAATCATATTCTAACTTTTAAGGAAAACTAATAGATCTATAAATAAATAGAAATAAATAACTGAAATAAATACACTAAATGAGATAAATATGCTAAATAAACAATATAAAATAAATAAATGAAATAAAATAAATAAGAAATTTTTTAAGATATAAGATATAATAAATAAGAAATTTAAATAAGAAATAAATAAAAAAATTAATTATACTAATATTTTACTAAAACTAATTGCAATAATACGAAACTTAATACAATGAAAATCTAAGAACTAGTTTAAGGAAAACTTTAATCTTAAAATAAAAAAGTTGTTAGTAATTAAAAAGTATTTGAAGACAAAGTACTTGCGCACAAAATACTCTAGGTCAAAATATTATTTACAATTCAAAATAAAAAATTAAATTTTTTGAATTAAACAATAGCATACAAATCAACATAAACATACAACATGTTAAAATCTACAAGTTAAACAATTTAATTTTGCAATTGAACAAGATTAACTAAAAATGTTAACTATGTATTCTGACTAAAATTAAAGTAATTCTCAGTAAAACATTACAAGAGTAGTAACATTTTGACAGAACTAATATGGGTGACAAATATTAATTGTAATAATATTCAATTAAACCTTATAAAAATTTATGCACTTGTTTTTTTTTTGAAAACATAAGTGTAGAAAACTTTTTACTTATAAAGTAAAAGGAAACCAAATTCTGAAAGTAAAGCAACTCAATTCTGCCATTAAATTACTTTAAATAAAGCTCTTTAAAATTCGGAATATCTGTGTAATTCTAAAGTAAACATAATTTAAAAATTAGATTAAAAATTATTTTTCAAAAAATTTAATTAGCAAATTCTGAAACTTAAGCAAAAATAGGATAACAATAAATGGAATAAACTGCTTACAGTAAGCTGGAAAAAAGAGATATCACCCTAAATAACTTTTGTTTTATGCTTTGAAATAGATAGACAATTAATTACCTTATTTAAAGTTATGTAATTCTCTAAGTAAAAATATGACAGATTTGGATTTTTAATACTCAAAACACGAGGGAAAGGGTAGTCTTAATTTGACACTGAAAAATAATGGTAAGGAAACTTTTAAATACATAAAGCACAAATAGAAGACTATGTTAGTTATTTGTCAAAATAAAATGAAATTTAAAAAGTTGAAGAAAAAAACATAGAGAAAAATTATTATTAATAAGTAATAACTATTTTAAAATCTAATAGGAAATATGTGCCAAAAAATAAACAAAAGAACAAAATCAGAATATATAATCTTGTAATTCAAAAAACAAAATTTTATAGAAACTAAACAGTAAATAAAGACTAACTAATATTAATGAAAACTAATATTAATAGAAATTAATATTAATGGAAACTAATATTAAATGTTTTAACAGTAAACTAATTTTAATACATAAATTAATGAAATGAAAGAAAAAATAAAGAATTGTTAATATGTAGAATACAACAAGTAAAATATTATTTAAATTCAAAGTAAATCGAGTTCTGGAAATTAAACAAGTAAATATGATAAAAAACTAAAATGTAAATGAAGTACAAATCAATAAAAAAGGACAATAATAGCAGGAATTACAATTAAAAAAAAAACAAATAAAATAACAGGGATAACAATAAAAAAAGGATAATGTGGTATAATATACAAATGAAATCAGCTCTAATTTTATAAATCAAGTAAAATGCTACATGCAAATAAAATGACAATAAAAATTAAGAGTTATTTATTCAAAATGCTAAAAACAGCAACGTTTAATAATTTTAAATAGAAAAAAAAAACATTTTTTTAAATGACTTTTTTTTATTATTTAAAACTTTTAGGGGAAAAAAATCTAGAAAGTTTTAAACAATTTGTTTGCACATAGTTCTAATCTAAAGAACAGCCTTTCCAGTAGCGGCATTCTAAAATTAATAAATGGGCTTTTTTGTCAATTTTTTTGTTAAATAAAACAATTTCTGCAAAACCAATTTGGAATAACTTTTTAAAGTTTTACCTAAAATCACTTAGAGATGTAACTGTATTGGTTACCCTGAAGGTATCATAGTAGGTATTACTGTTTGAGGATAGCCATAAACTGGAACATTGACCATTCCAACCATTCCTTGTTCAACAGCAGCCTAGAAGGAAAAAAAATTCCATTCATTCCATTTAGGCTTATTACAAAGAAATTACATTTTGCAAACATTTATAAGCTGGTTAATTTAAACCTAGCAGTGAAAGTATGATGGAATTGAGAAACAATGTAGTTATTTAAATAAACAATCTTCATTTTTTTAGATAAAAATTATAATTTAAAATATTATACCAGAATCAGGGTCTGTCAAGACATTTTGTGAAAGGTTCTGTATTTGTAAAATTGTGAAAAAATTACTCGTGATTTGTAAATATAAAATAAGCGTTAAGTCACATTCTTTCAACCACGGTCCTGTTTTGTGAATTTGTGCAAATAGGGTCCCGTTATTGCAAAAAAAACCTTTTCAAGGAGCTTTTAAATTGTAAATGGACACAAGATTATGCTCAACACTGTAAAATTATAGTTAAAAATATTTAATTTTCAAGAATAAACAGCTATTGCTGCTACTAAATTAGAGATGCAACATACAAATATTTGGTATTTAGCCTATTCTGCACAACACAGAATATTCATTCCGGGCAAATAATGGAAACAAAATCGCTCACATTTTTAATAATTTCAATGAACACATTTTAAATAGCATAACTCAGTTATGTATCACTCTTAATGTGTTACACATTAAGTAAACTTAAACAATTCTTAAATTTATAGTAGTTTTTTTTAAAAATTGATATAAGTTAATTTTTATTTACATAATATTTTATCAATAAATTTTATGAATAATATATTGCTCAATTATTTACAAAAAAATATCCTTTAATATCAATAAGAATGTACACTCGATGTTTGTAGAAGTAGATATATTTTCTTTGAATACTACATTTTGAATTTATAAATTTTTCTTTTACTTCGAAGAAGTTAAGGGATCTAATATAAATGAAATGAGATCAAATTTAGCCTTATAATTAAAGCAGAAAAACATGATTAACAAAACACTTAGCATCAGACAATTTTCCCTGCCCATTTACAATAATACATTTCGAATTTATAAATTTTTTTTGACTTCGAAGAAGTTAAGGGATCTAATATAATTGAAATTAGATCAAATTTAGCCTTAGAATTAAAGCAGAAAAACATGATTAACAAAACACTCAGCGTCAGTCAATTTTTCCTGCCCATTTACAATAATACACAAACGTCTTTCGAGTGTCACTTGTGAAGGGTCCGATTAAAAGACAAATTATTTTGTGAAGGGTCCATTAACGGACCCAAATTTCTTCTAAACAGACCCCTGAGAATTAAGACAAAATATTCTGACATAATATATTTCAATTTTTGAAATGAAGTCTAAGTTTAAATTAATCAGATTCATCAATGTATGATTAGCATGAGTTTCAGCCAGTAGTTTGAAAAACCACATTATTTTTGTAGTTCACTGCAACTACACAGAATTTACAACTACAACTTGCTACAAATGCAGTTAACTACAACTATTTTTTTAAAAAATGAACTGACTACAAACTATTTTTGAATTGTAGTGAATACTTTGAGACAAACTTTGCTAGAGAACTTAGTTTACACATATATTCAAAATGGGTGTGAATAAGAAATTGGCTTACATTAAAATACAAGGGAATAATTAAGAAATATTTATTCATGTTCACATGAGCCAGTTTGCAACTCCAAAAAATGTGTTTCGAATTTGATAATCTTAAACTTTTTACGCATTTTTCCATGAGAATGGTCCACATATTAGAAAAATGACTTGTTTATTTTTTCTTAAAAAAATATTTATAGATTTTTTTACAGCAAACAAAACAAAAAAAGGGTGCATAGCCAAATCTTTCAACAAAAAATAAGCACCTTTTAAGTACTTTTTAAGCACTAAAAAAATATTTTTAAGCATACATTAACAAAATGCAAAATTATTTTCAAAGTTTTTACATGATCGTGATAAAATAACTAGTTTTTGACAAAGAACTCTTTTCTTGATTATATTAGCCACCATAAAAAGATCGAGAGATTTTTCAGTCCGAAAAATGAGGGTGGAAAATGAAACCTGGAATTGAGAATATCTAGCAAAATGCAGCAGAGTTGCACATGAGAGTGCTAGAATCCCCAAGAACTCAGATCAGTAGACGAACATGCGGTTTCGCAAGTATTTCATTAAACATGTAAAATGATAGCTGCTTTCATACGCTATTGGACAGACGATAGGCTGAAATGGATTGTGGTTGAATAAAATGTGAAAACGTTGAATAGAACAAGGTGAAAACCGCGCTTTTGCAAAATACATGCCGAAAATCGACATGGTAAAGAAAATAATCTCTTTTTCAAAAGCACTTTTTAAAAATACTCAAAGAAAAAAGCACCTTTAAGGGTTTTAAAAAAAAATGAAAATCGAAAATAAGTACATTTAAGCACATTTCAAAAACGCTACACAACATGAAAAATAAAAGCCATTAAAAAATAAAGCTTAAAATAAACACCATTTCCTGAAAAACAATGATCTTTTCTTGGAGCCATTCATATCTCTATATATCATAAACTTTTATTCCTAACTTTATAAATTTTCTTTTTTAAAAATCCCCAATTTGAACATTTCATTTTAATTCTTTCAAAATTTCAAAAAATGAGGACGACAAACAAACTGAAGTAGATCCAACACGGAAGACGTTGGAAGTATTATGCGTCCAATTCTTCCATTGCGGTGTCACATCATTATTTGATTATTTTGTAATTCACAACAAATAATATTTTCATTATAATGTAATAAAAGTAATAATAAAGTACATATTATTTTAAATAATTTTTAACCAAAAATATTTGTTCATATCTGTCCACATTGGATAAATAAAATAACGGAGATTTTACTAGCAACATTTTTTAGGCTATGAGTAAAGTTTTGCCACATGATGCATAATTATGTAAGTCAAAAAGTAAAAATTCAAATTTAGAAATAATATAAGCACTTACATTTAGCGAAGTAAAAAATATGCATACAAATCTTAATCTAAAGAAGATTTTTTAAAACCATTATTTATAATTGCTTAAACTATTTTATTTGAACAGCTGACCCAATTCTGGGCTTACGATTGCCATTGTTCAACTCTGTATTCTTGAAATTTTGATCCCAATCCAGAAGACGAGGGAGCTCCTGGATCAGTACCCCCAGAGATTGTTATGGGAACATGTAGGACTTTGCGACTCGACAGATTTAACATGCATCAGTCACCATTCACTACATAGGGAGTCTTCGGTCGGTTTTGGATCGAACCCACAAACTCTAGAACATGAGCCCAGTGCCCTACCAACCAGGCTATCCCGACCTCTTCTTAAACTATTAACATTCAGCATACTACAGTGCTAGCAATAGTATCATCTGTTGAGTAATAAGATAATTATTTTTGCCATCAGTGGATATTTTATCACCAAATTTGAAATTTGAGAACATATGGGTAAACAGGAGACAGTCGTAAAATACAGGAGACTTGGCAGGTATGTTAATTTAATTTTTTAAAGAAGAAATAATTTTTTTTCTTGATAAATTCAAAAATCAAATTGAAAAAGATATTAATTGTCCTATGGTCATTCTGGTCTCTTGCGTTTTCTCAAGACTAATTTCAGCCCTCAGAGAGGTCATATCAGAGGTCATATCAATAACTGTTAGAAAATAAAAGAAATAGTTTTCTCTGAGGACAAAAGTGAAAAAATTTTTCTGAAATTTGAAGTGCACAAACATCTTAACAAATCGAACAAAATTTTATAAACACTTTTTTTAAAGTCATACAATATGCAAGTTAATGTAACATTACATTTTTACAAGAAACATGCTATAATTATTATTCTTGAAATTGCACTTATGCATACTCAATTCAACTTGATATACGCTTTTTTAAGTATAAATTCATGCCTAACAAGTAAGGTAACATAGAGGGCAAAAATACAAGTTTGTTTCATTTTTTTTAAAAATAAAAAATTTAAGCAACCTTGAAAAGATATTAAAATCAATTTTTATAAAAATATTGTTCTTACCACAGGTGGTACATTCTGTGGCACACCAACATAGTTTGACACAGGTGAATTTTGGACTCTAGTTCACACCACCAGTTCTAGAAGAAATTTTTGGAGAACCCCACTGATGACCACCAGTTCTAAATTTTGAAATAAAATGACAATCTTTAAATATTTTTAATTATAATAACCAAAATATAAGTTTTGGTAAAAGAATTTGCAATTTAATTATCTCCATTAATTATAAATAATTTAATAAAATTTGTACAAAAATATATTTGCCATAATATATGCAAGCATTAAGCATGGAAGATTTGGGCATCAGAGGTCCACATAAAAAAAAATTCTCAGAAATTAAAAAACTAATTTAATAAAAATTAGTGATTATTAATTATTTTCTCAGCACATTTAAAACAGTTTTAAAAAAATTCAATTATTTTACAATAAAAAAACTAAAGAAATCGTTTTAATAGAAAAAAAAAAGATTTCAGATCTAAAGAAAATGGTCTAGTTTACACAAAGTACAGTGATTCTCTTTCAAATTAATAAGTTCTCTAAATCTAAACTTAGGATATTTTTAGTTGATTATAGACACCTACACCAATAATTTTGAAGTCTTATTTCCAAAACAAAATAGAGGAAAAAGTTTTCATTAACAAATTTCAAATACAAAATAAAATGGTTTAATATATGGACATAACATGTTACAAGCATAACATTAGAAAACATTAAATATACTGTAAAACGAAAACGTTGAAAATCATAAAATGTTACAAACTATTCCTCATTTTAAAAATTATCTATCATCAAACATATTATAACTTAAACTTTTATATATTTTTTTTCAGCATCAGATATAAAATATTGCTAGATTTATAATGAAAAATATTTTCAGAATTTTATTTTGATTACGCTTGTAACATTTTTCAGGTTTGGCAACTTTTATGAGCAGGGTGGTCACTCAAATTAGATTTCAAATTTCCCTTATTTTTCCAAGTTTTCCAAGTAACTATCTTAAACTTCCAGGCCTGTGTTTCTTTTCTCTTATAAAGCTCAGGATGTGTACAAAAAAGTGTCTATATTACAAAATATTTTATTTAAAATCTTATTTTTTAAACATAGCATCTTGAAAAAAAAATTTATTTTGACAATTTTGCAAGATTTTTTTATTTATTTTTTAATGTTTTGGTACAACATTAATTTTTAGGAAATTAAGACATGGAGAAAAAATACGTTTAATTTGTAGAATATATTGTTTTTATTGAATACAATTTTTTTAATGTGTTACTTTAAGTAGTTTTTGCTCAAAGTGTACTAGAAAATGACAAAAAAGAATGACCAATAAGACCTTGGATAGGTATTGTTTAACATATTTTCATTAAGCAAAAATAAAAAACCGTTTCAGGTGATTATATATTAATACATTTTTATAATTATAGTGGCTATATTATATATAGTCTTCGTTCACTTATAACTGTTATTGAAATAGGCAATAAAAATGCGTTAATTAAAATGAATATTTCAGACAATAAGATGTATAATCTAATCTTAAGCAAAACTGCATGGAATATTTTAAAAACACAGCAAAAGTTTATTTTTAAAATATCAATAATGAAATAGTAACAAAAATTACATGTTTTACGATTTCAGAATTAAAATTATCATCTGTTGCTTTAATTTTTTTATTTAATTATTCTTCATTTCATTTTTTATATATTTTATTTTTTATATCACTAATTCCAAGAATATTCCATGACTTAACGAAGTTACTATTTTCTCCGACAAAAGCACAACAATAAATTTAAAAAAGCATTATAACATTAATTGAAATGATAGGTATAACAGAAATTCATACTCTGCATCTTCATATTTATTTTAAATTTAAAAAACAGAGTAGAGAAAAAGTTGAAGCAATAAAATAGCTGAAAAAATACAAAAGCAATTTGTTTCTCCTCCTTTTTACTGCAGAAATATATTTTAAAGATGCTTTTCTTGTGTATCAGAGATTAAAGAAATATTCCTGATATTTCTGTTCTCTTTTCGGAATAAAAAAAATCGCCAATGACTGGTTTGCTTCAGCTAGAATTTTAAATTGATAAAATAAAATAAAAATAATAACAAAAATTCTGAAATTACAGAAGTTTGAAAGATAATTCGCTCTAAAAATGATGTTTTATCTTTCATTTTTTAAAAGAACAACATAATTTTTAAAGAACACAATAAAAACATTTTTTATTTTAATAAAATATGACTGTGAGTGGGGATTTTGTTACAAATTCAGATATTCGGAACATCATGAAATTGTGTGTCTGTGAGGGGGTAAATTCTATTTAAAAAAAAAGAGACTTTTGGGCGCCCTGAATCTATGATTTTTTAAACATAAATAGTTAAAATCAAGACATTTCATGACAAATTTTGTTCAATACCAAGATTCAAGACTTTCCTGGTGTGCAGATACCATGAACTTAAACCTGTTTCTCTATTGATCATAAATTGAAAAAGTTTTTGAACTTGTGAACATTTTTTCCCCATTTGCTATTCAAAAAAGCAAGATCAATTAGAAGTCAAAACTAAATGAACACCAAAGATAATTGCCTAACAGTTATTAAATATAATTAACAGTACACAACTGTAAAACTTCAAAAAAAATTTCAAAATCTTTTGAGCTTTGAAACCAAATTATTTAATTTACACTCATAACTATTCTAATTTATCCAATCTGAAACAAGTGTAACTTAATACAGGGATTTTGTTCAAGGCTATATTAAAAAATTTTATACTAAAATACTACAGCTAATTTATGAANTTTATGACATAATTAAAATGAACATACTCATTTTTTTTACTTCCAATCTTGTCAAGAAATAACATCAGTTAAGTATATGGCCAAGACTTTATTTGTTGAGCTGTTACTACTCGCCCCTTTTTGACTTGTTCAGCTAAATGCCAAAAATTGATAAAATGAGATATCTACTTAAAGACACGAGAAAAAGAATGACATTTTTTTCACAAATATAGTTTAAAATTACTAAATTTAATTTAAAAGAAATAATAAAGAATAATTCATAGAGCAAAAAAGTTATTTTATAGATTTATTACAGGGTTGCTACTCAAATCTGGGAAGAAAAAAAAAGCTCCCTGCGTTTTCCCTGTATATATTATACACAATATACTAAGAGGAAACACACAATTACTGCGCAAATTTGTACGCTATATCAGGATAACTAATACTAGTTTTAATTGCTAGAAAAACTTAAATAAGGAACAGTTTAACATACATAAAAAAAATAAAAATACAGCAAATAAAATAGTAAAGTATAACTGAACTATATTTAAATACCCCATAGATTGCACTTAAAGAGGACAACATTTTGTAAAAAAAGAAAATAAGAAATAAATATTCCTTGCATTTTCCCTGTTAATTTAGTTGATTTTTTAATTCCCTTTATTTTCCAGGTTTCCCCTATTCTCCCTGTGGAGTGGCGACCCTGTATTTTATTTTCATTTCCTTAATTTAATTTTAGACGTTAGATACCAACTATTTTATAAGTTTTTAAGCAAATGTCAAAAGACTATGTCAATCAAACAATGTTCAACATTCATATGTTTAGAAATGAAAATTATCACATTTTATCCATAAAACTCTTGATCACTGTAACAATCATTTGCCTCATTTCTCTTCCTAAATATATTTTTTTTATCTGGATTTTTATTCCGATGTATTGTTGAACTATTCAGGGGTGATTGTGATCCCAACTCAAAAATCCTGAAAATTTCTTATTAAAATCATTAATGACGCATTTCAAAAAATTAATGTCTTTATAAAGTTAAATCATTTATATTTTCAAAACATTAAATTCTAAATAAATTATTTACAGCATAATTTAAATGAATAATTATGTATAAGTTTACTTTTATCTCTAATCACATTTATTATTCTGCCAGAAAAAATATTTACAAATGAAAGACGCCAAGTATAAATTCTAGTTCTAATATTTTTAAATAAAATAGACAAGAATTTTTACACATGATCGATGATTTCTTGAAGGTTCTGGACCTAGGATTTCCAGAAACTTCAGGAGTGTTGTTAGCGAAAAATCCGATATTTTTCCGGAGCACAATCACCTCTTTAGCAGACTTAGCTGGTTTAAAACAATGATGTTTAAACAAAATGATTTAAAAGAAGAAGAAAAAAGAAGAAGAAAACAAAGTCAGAATATGTTTTTTAAAAGAATCTTTTTAATAAATACATTTTCCAGTATTTATATTGATTTTTTATTTGTTTAAATATTGCGAAGTGACAAGATGGTTTTCTCACCTTTTTGGAAATTTTGAGTCAAATTCCATTATTTTAAATTAACACAAAACTGCAATTTTCAAATGCTTAGGGTTTCGAGTTTTCACAAAAATACCAATGTGAAATAAAGTATTGTAAGCAAATTTAAAATAAAAACATGAGGTTTTGTAAAAATGCTTAAAATAAATTAGATCATAACTAATTCAAAAGTAATTCTTGTTCTAACAAAAGTATAAACAAGAATAAAGTGCTTTTCTAAATTTTATTTTTTCAGTTCAATTTCATATTTGTTTTCTGCTACTTAGATAAACAAATTTGAATTGTATACAAGTTTGAAGTTTATGCTTACATTCATTATTTTAAAATTCATTTAAAATATTTTTTAAGTAAATGTTTCATAATTTTGCAATATGTCAATAAGAATATTGTTATATTTAAAGCTCAATAAATTATTATGTTAAAATAAATGACACAAAAGGTATATAGTTCTTTGTTTTTCTGACGGTCAAAACTAAAACCTACCTTTACTATAATATTTGTGTTTATATTTATGTAACACATTTATCAATTTTATTTCTTTTCATCAATCTGTTATTAAATATTTCTTAATTGAAAAAATACATTTTCTTGAATATCTCATTCTTCTTTATATTAAAATTTGCCACAATATATATACATATTCACACATTACTAAGATAACATTTAGATATAAAATACTATTTAACCTTTCGTTTAAAATAAAAAAATAACTGGTTTTTGGGTTTTTATGAGAAAAAAAATAACTTTCTAAACCCTGTCTACCAGTCGTGAAAAATTTCAGTAACCTTTACTTCCTATTTAATGATTTTCAAGGACTTTTGAGGTAACTATTTTTTTTCTTCAACAAAAGTAATGTTGAGAAATTGGAATTAGTTTTTAAAAAGAAATGGTTATTAACAGATCCACTAAAATATTTTTATCTGAGATGGTAGACAAAACTTTAAATATTTAATTAATTAAGCTATTTAATTAAATAGCTTCATTAATTAGAGAGAAAATTAGAATAATTTTCAGCATCATATTACACAGTTTTTCCTAGATGCAGGTGTTTGACCAATCTTAATGAGCCTTCATTTCTCAAACATATGTAACGATTTTCTTTAACAGCAGACTTTCTAAGTCTTAGAGACCTATAGTTCTCAAAATCTAACTGAATCTATGAATGACTATACATCTTTTGTTGTAAAGAAAAATATGAATATTTATTAATTTTAAGATTTTTATTAAGTCTATCATCTTGGTTATTTATTTTTTTAAAAGAAATTTGTTGCGGCATATTTTTTAAATTATTAAGCAACAAAAAATTTTGTACGTATAATGAATACTAATAAAACATCTAAACCAAATTACAGTGAGCATAAGTTTATAGTTATAACAGTCGTCTTTAGATAATTTTTGTTATTGCTTAGACATGCTTTTATGAACTGATATAGGTCAAGTAAAAATTATACAGCCTGGTTGCTTCGAATCAATGTGATCGAGGAAATGTGAAATCAATGTAATTTTAAAATGCAGCATCATGGGAGAAACAAGACAATGTAATATTTCAACTAAATAATATAATTAAAATGATGAAAAGAATAAAATTGATAAATGGGCTACATAATTACAAACATTTAAAATTGTAAAAGTATATTTCAGCCTCAATGGTTCTAAAACACACACAAAAAAAAATACTTTTAGGTCATTAGCTTTAAATGTAACAAAGTTCTTATTGTTATATTTCAGCATAAACAAAAAAAAAATATTTTAAAAATATTTAAAAAAAATTTCTCAAACTTTTTTTTTTAAATAAAGTATAAAAATAGCAATTTTAAATATTATAATGATAAATATAAGCATACTGCATAAATACAATACAAATTTGTTCACCTAAATAATAAAAAATAATTCTGAAATTAAACTGTTAAAATAAAATTTAGAAAAGTAATTCATTCCTGTTTATACGTTTGACTGCAGCAAAAATGTATCTTTAACAAGTTTGTAAAAATAAAGTTTGAAAAACTTTAATTCTTTCAGTAATTACACAATTTAAATAATACAAAAAAACTAACATAACAGGGAATAACTAAGAATCTATTTTATTTAACACTTTAAGAGTTATGATTTTATCTAAAAATTGATTGCATTAATTTCTTTTACATAGGCTTTTTTTGGGGGGGGGGACAAAATTAATTTTACATAAATAATTAAAAATTGCAGATTTATGTCTATTTTAAGAAGGTGAATTCCAATTATCAATTAAACTCAAAATTGTTACAAATGTGAGAATTTCTATTTTTTATTTTTCAATATTCAAACTGAAAACATTCACATAAATAGCAGAAAATTTATTTAAAAAGATGCTTGTTAAAAAAAAATTATAAGAAAACCAGGCTTAATCTTTTTCTAAAAAATTTTTTTTTTTGGTTTTGACCTTGTTTTAAACGGACAAACTATGATTCAAGCGAAAACAAAGCGACAAAGAAGAGCCGATCCACACAAATGATTATACATAGGTAGTTCTAAATTAAATTTTTTAAAATACAAAACATCTGAGTCTCAGTTGTTGGTTAACGTCCCACTAGATCTGAACTATGGGCTATTAGCGACAATCTGGGAAACATCGCAGAGGATGATCCGAAGACATGTCATCACCATTTTTCATCCTCTGGAGAGGGGATGACCTCTGTTTCGGTAGCCTGATGACATGTGAAGTCAATCACTTTGCTTAAAACAGTTTAACGAGGACCGATACAGCACACTCTCGGTCCCTTTGCATGCTGATCAAAGAGGTTACTCACCCGCACAATTTCCCCAGCCAGTGATGCTTGACTTCAGTGTTCTATTGGGATCTTGATGATCAGTCAGTTCACTGCGGGACTCTCAGTGCATTTGCAGCTATGCAAAACAATAGCTATGAAGCCCCAACGTTATTACAGCCAGTAGGATGAAGTCTATTAAGACCCATTTAATCCTAAAAATAAAATTTATTAATAAATATATGTTGTGGGAAACTATCAACAGTTTGAAATTTCTAACTTTTTGGATTGATTAAATAGATCGGCATCATAAGAACTAAATACTGCAACGAACTTGATTAAAATTTATAAGATTTATGCTAATATGGCAACAATCTTCGTAAAATGTTCTACAAATGTCACCCAAATGATATGCATGGGTGCCAAATTTGTCGAAATGTTAGGAATTAGCAAAATAATAATGAAAAAAAAATTTTTATATTGAATTCCATGTGTTAAAAAAAAATTCTAATTTTATTATTCTAAGCTGAAGGTTTCAGTAGCGAATATTTAGAAATAAATAAGTTCTTCCACGCGTTGCAGGGTGGCCACAGTCTGGAAAATTTTTAAAAGAGGCGCCAATTACTTAATGAGGTTATTGTAAGTTTCAAAGGCTTTAATTTTAGGGATATTTCAGGAATACAATTTGTCAGCTGTGACATAAATTTACAAATATTTTTGGATAACAACTGCTACCAACTTTTAAATTTTTCTGGAAAGTGGCTACACTTGGAAGGTTTCTCCACCCACCCCCCTTTTCTATGAGATGAAGCATTTAAAATTGAAATGTTTAAATTTCAAATTTACGTGCCTTCTGTGGACTGACAGCGAGATTTGTCTATCAGCTAAAAGAAATATCTTTTGGGCTTTGAAAATTTACTTTATTTAGGAATTTTTAGATAATTAATTTTTAGTATATTTGTTAATTTCACAGTTTTTTTTATTCTCTAATCTCAACATTTTACTCAGTATGTTGAATTTATTTACAAATATTATAGCTTTTTTTTTATTACTAAATTTTAATAAACAGTACTCCTAAATCATTATGGGGTAATAGTTTTAAAACGTTTCGGATAGTGAGGAACAGGATAGTGAGGAAAAATCATTTTACATAGTTTATATTATAACAATTGTAAAAGCATACTTAATGTTTATAATAATTATTCTTAATGTTGCTGACAAAAATTACTTTACATGATATTTACTATTTTGTACAATGCATTTGTCAACAAAAAAAAAAGTTAAGTTCCCTTTTATGTATAAGATGCATTGCAGTGTAAAGATATTGATGTGTATGGTTTTAATTTTTTATGATGATAGAAGTTAATGAAAACTGCATTTATCTAAAAACAGAGAGCTTTAAATGCAAATTTTTAATAATATTTATTAATGCAAATAA